CATAATTTTTGTAAATGATAAAAGTAATAATAATAAAATTTTATTTAAAATAAAATATATTATTGAGACTGTCTAATTTTATGAATATTGGTTTAAATGTAGAAACTATGTTTATTTCAAAATTAAGATTTTTTCTTTATTATGAAACTCCTTTAAAGATAGTATTCCATGCAGAATCCTATGAATAAATGTCAAGAACAAAAATTCGATTATACCAGAAAATAGATGGTAAGATGGCGTGCAAAATGGTAATTGGGAGAAGAATTTAGAAACAAATCTTTATATTTGAAGCAAGTAAGTGTAATATACCATCTGATCTAGTGAGTTCATAAAAACTAGTGTGAAGAAAAATCTCGACGTTAAGGGATCACCATTTATCTTCGAATGAATTCTCAAAAGTCCAATTTTCAATAGCATTTATAACGTACAGTACAGTAGCTTGCAATAAGGTCAAACCCGTTAAGGGAAGGAAGATTGTCCATACCCTGCAAACATAATGCACCTTGTTATTATATTTATTGTAAAGGCATTCAATCTCTAAAGAGAATTTCAGTGAAATTTGTAAGATTTGTCAAAGTTGAAGTGTTATTATAGAAAGCACACTCCTGAAACTTTGACTGTGAAAATAAGGCAACCGTACTAGACTATACTATTGATAGTATCTATGAGTAGGAAAAAATGTTCTTAAAAAGTTCATCATTACGAGACCAAAGAGGGAAATTTCATTCATCCGCCGATACTTGGAAATTAGAAAAGTTCAACATCCATAATATTTACGCACGTCTTAATAAGAGGTCAACCCAACATAAAACATATAACAAAGCTTTGAATTTCCTCCAAGTTACATAACATCCTCCTAACTATTCCCTTTTCTCTTTGCATAATAGACACGGCGACAATTCCCTCTCAAAGATCTTCGAATCTCTTCTATTCAGTTACCGATACATTGTTCTTTTTTTTTATATTTTGTCAGTAACTCTTTACGCTATTGCTGACGCTATTTTCTTCCACTCGAGCATCATGTTCTTGGATAATCTTTCGTTTTAACATTTTCCAAGCACGGTTTGTCATAGGTCGTTGTGCAACGGATGCGTTGATAAATGCATCGGTTGACATAATGTAACTACGAACGTATCGCAGGTTACCTTCATCATTTTTTTCTTGAGCCATTTCCTCAATGCGTTCACGAAGATATTGTTTACGTTGATTAGCGATTTCAGCAATGTCATGACTCCTAGCCAAACGTTCCTTTGCCTCGGCAACCTCTCTTTGGCGGACGTCTTGCATGAGGCGAGTACATCTTGTTTCCATTTCGGTTTTCCATTGAGGTAGTTGTGATTGTGGAATAGATTTGTATTGTTGATGCATCGCCTCGACTTGTGAAAACCAATAATAGTTGACCGTTGAATTGCTTAGGTAAAAATGCATTTGGACGGAGGGGAGCCCGAGCAATACATCCTGCGGAAGCTTCATGTCTTTGACGATAGTGATTTCACTTCATTCATGATGGTGAGAATGATAGGTTTCAAGGTTGAATAACGTAGGCGAAAAAAGAAAATGGGATTCAGAATAAATGGACAGATAGTCACCTTTCAGTCTTCGCGGAGAAACAGTCGCTACACATTCGTGTTCTGAAGGCCCAGTAAATTTTTCTGATCCTCGGTTTACCGCAAAATTGGCATCCACGCTCCACTGACAGTTTAATGTACTGTCTCTCGTCCATTCCTTCGGGTGGATCCATTTGCAAAAATCTCAAATGCAGAGTCCTTGCTTCTTTCCAAATTTGTTGGGTTGTGGTTGATGAAGATGAAATCAAGTATTGAGCGAATACTTTACAAACAGCACTCAGGGAGACAAGATCACGAGGTCGAAGGAATTTACAAATGTTGATGAACACCTCGGGTGGAAATGTGAGGATCATCGGTGGTTGTTTGAAAGAAGCGGTGGTAATTTGGTCTTGGACAGGCGACGATAAGGTCAAAAACGAAGGTATCCCTATCAATGAAGTGTCAACTGCAGGAATTGAAGTGGGGATGGATACATTTTTGGTAACACTACGTCGTTTTCCAGGCGTGGCACTAGTCTTTCGTTTCTTTTGTTTTTGCATTTTTCCAAGGGAAATGTGAAAAGACAAAAACCAATTAATTGAATGACTGATTACTAAAGATTCTAAAAGAATTCACAGGGAAATAAGGAAGGAATTGTTAAACAAAACATGTATGCAAAATTACGGGTATTTATTCAAAAAGACCAAAGATCTACGAACGACGACAAAGAAAATCCAACAATTAGCTATAATAATAATTTTTATTGTCGAAAAAGCCACAGCACATATCAACTTTGTTCGAACCAGAAAAGTCATTTGACTTGAGTATATCAAGTGATTTGTACGTATGAAACTTCGAAAACTTTTTGTGCTCACTTGAATATGAGCGGATTACATATTTGCCGTGGAACGAACATTGTTCATAATTAGTAATATTAATATTTTTGATATTTTTACACTGAGTTGTAATTGTGGATTCTTTATTTCGTAATAAAATAATGAAAACTTTCAGGTATTTGGACATGTGACATTTGTAATTGCTACGTAAAGGGACAGATCTCAAAAAAAAGCGGTAAATTTTTTTTTCTCCCTTATTTAAAGTCATTAGAAACAAAACTCATGGAAGAAGCCGCATGTTTACGAAAGGGTTTCCGAAATAGTGAAGAGAATGCAATTGTCAAGGTTTTATCTTAAATTATATTGCAATGCACATGAAAACTTCAAAAAAATTTGATAACGAGAGTCCGGGTGGTCATGTCATCCATTTGACAAATAAAGATAAAATCTCTACCGTAAATACAAATATAATAAATAAATTTACCAGACATCATGTGAAATTGCCGTCGTAGCTTAGTGGTAGAGCGTCAGTCTTGTAAACTGAAGGTCGGTGGTTCAATTCCGCCCGACGGCATTACCATTTTCTTTAACATTTTTTTTTTTTTTTCATTTCAGGAGAATCTTCGTTAATTTGACTAATAGAATGTAATTCACAAGAATCGAGTATAAAGTTGACTTGATTCAAATTGAAAATTAACATTTTCGACGAAAAAAAAACAAAAAAAAAGATAGACTCGATCTGTTTAACAAATATTCTTTGCGCCACATTCATACTAAGTACCCATAGGTGGATATAATCCTTTTTAGAAAACCATTATCACGAGGAAGCAAAGTATTGTAAATATTCCGCGCCGATCTACTCCTAATAAGTGTAAGAAACGTAAGAAAAAGTCCCCAACAAAATCAAATCCTTAGCCGATCGTGTTGTATCATAACGATAATGGAAAGAACTAATAAAAAAGAAATAGCCATAATCCCATAAGTATTGTTAGGGTTCTTCATGCCGAATTAGGGATTGATCGCGTGAATTGTAATACTGTTAGATAAAAAGTTGTAAAATCAGATTCGGATTCAATATCCTTTTCTTCCACTTCAGCGAATTAAAGAGAAAAGAATCATGTCTTCGAGCATTCTGACGACTTCGGTGGCTGATCATTTTATAAATCTTGCTCATACCATTGGTATCCTCACTGACCCTTTCGTAACGCCCATAGAAAATGTTGCGAAATTTACTTTCAATTCAACATTTCCCGGAGTATACCAATACTTCGCGGAAGTATTGGAAGGATACAAATCACCATTTGTGGATAGACTGCCATTGATGGATCCTTTTCATGTAGTGTTAATTGCTATTGGCTATTTAATGACGATATTTCTGGGGAAACAGTACATGTCTCAACGTCAAAAGTTATCGGTGAAGGGATTAAGCGCACTGCATAATTTCTTGATGGTCTCGTTGAGTGCGTACATGTGTACCATGATATGGGTAGAAGCCTGGAAGAATGGGTACACGTTATTCGCTAATCCTGAAGACAGGTCGGAGAAAGGATTTCAGGTACAACCGTTTATTAA